ACTTCCCAGGAGAACCTCGTGGAAGCAGGAAGGAGGAGGAAGAAAGGTAGAGAAGAGGGAAGAAAGAATTTTATTCAATAAACAAATATCTATGGTGTCAATAATGTGTGCAGACCGGTTCTAGGCCCCAGAAATATACAGTGAATAAAGCAAAATCCATGCACTCCAGTGAGAGAACATAGACAAATTAATAAAACAAATGTTTAAAAGTACATAGTTTGTTATGATAGTAAAGCAAAGGAGGAGATGGAAAGGATGCTGCTATTCAATTTGAAATAGAGGGGTCAGTGAAGGCTCCCTCAAAAGGTGACATTTGAATATAGACCAAAAGAGCTGGGGAGTGAACCATGTGGATACCTGAGGAAATCATGTTCCAGGAAAAAGAAATGCAAGTGCAAAGGCCCTGAGGCAGTAGAGGGCCTTCTTTTTTTAATTAAAATTTATTGGGATGACAATGATCAACAAAACTACATAGGTTTCAAGTATACAATTCTATAATATATCATCTATATATTGCATTACGTGTTCACCACCCAGAGTCAGTTCCCCTTCCATCACCATATATTTGACCCCCTTTACCCTCTTCTTCCACCCCTTCCCCTCTAGTAACCACTAAACTGTTGTCTGTGTCTAAGTTTTTGTTTCTTTATTTGTTTGTCTTGTTCCTTTGTTGCCTTCAGTTTTACATCCCACATATGAGTGAAGTCATATGGTTCTCAACTTTTTCTGACTTATTTCACTTAGCATAATAATCTCAAGATCCACCCATGTTGTCACAAATGGCAGTATTTCATCTTTTGTTATGGCAGAGTAGTATTCCATTGTATATATGTACCACATCTTCTTTATCTAATCATCTATAGAAGGATGTGTTGGTTGTTTCCACATCTTGGCCACTATAAATAATGCTGCAATGAACATCGGAATATATATATCTTTACAGATAAATGTTTTCAGATTTTGGGGGTAGATGCCCAGAAGAGCGATTGGGTCATATGGTAATTCTAGTCTTAGTTTTTTGAGGAACCTCCATACTGCCTTCCATAGCGGCTGTACCAATCTGCATTCCCACCAACAGTGTAATGAGGTTTCCTTTTTCTCCGCAGCCAGGAGAGGTCCTTTCTAATGGATAGCAAGATAGTCAGTGTGGCAAGAGGGAAGTAAGGGGGAAGAAAATAAGAAAATGATGGGTTCAGAGAATTTAATTATTGTGGATCACTGCCTTTTACTCCAAGTAAGGTGGGAATCACTGAGGAGTCTAAACAGAAGAGTGACGTGATCAGCCAGGCTTTCAAAGCATCGCTCTGGTAGCTGTGTTGAGAATAGACGATAGGAGGGCAAGAGTAGAAAGAGGGAGACAAGATAAGAAGCCATTGCAGTGGTCCAGGTGAGAGATGAGGTTTACTAAACCAGGGTGATGGTGGTGGAGGTGGAGGGAAGTGCTCAGGTTACAGATATCTTTTGAAGACACAGCCAGCAATTTTTGTTCTGATTGATTTAAGGTGTGAGAGAAAAAGCAGCCAGGGATAATGCCAAGGTTTTTAGTGTGAGCAACTACAAGGATGGAGTTGTCATTTGCTTATACGGGGAAGACTGGAGGGGCTGGTTTGGAAAGAAATATCAGCAGTGCACTTTGGGGCATGTTAAGTTTGAAAAGCCTATTTGGACCCCCAGTGGTGCTATCAAGTAGATAGTTGGCTATTGTAGTGTGGGCTTGGGGAAAGATTGGGGCTGGAGATACAAATTTGATATCTAAAACATGGGAGTGGATGAGATTAAAAAAGGGTGGGGGGAGTGTGGATAGAGAAGAAATCCAAGGGTAAACGCTGGGACACTCCAACATTATGGTATCAGAAAGAGAGAGGAAGAACTAGTGTCTTAGTTCAGGCTGCTATAACAAAATACTATGGGCTGGGTGGCTTAAACAACAGAAATTTATTTTTCACAGTTATGGAGGCTGGGAAGCCCAAGATCAAGGTGCTGGCAGATTGGATTCCTGGGCCCACATGAAGGTATGCAGGCTGATGCCTTCTTGCTTTGGTCTCTCCCTCTTCTTATAAGGGCACTAATCTCATCATAGAAACTCCACACTCATGACTTCATCTAAACTAATTACCTCCCAAAGGTCCTACCTCCAAATACCACCGCACTGAGAGCTAGGGCTTCAACATATGAGCTGGGGGGTGGCGGGGGAGGAGGGGGAGACACACAAACCTTCAGTCCACAGCAACCAGGATAAAAAGATTGAGAAGGAAGAGCCAGTGAGGAAGGAGAAAAACCCAGAGAGCATTATGTCCTGGAAGCCAAGGAAAGCGTTTCAAGGATGAGACAGTAATCAACAAGTCCAATGCTGCTGATAGGCCTAGTTGAGGCCAAGAGATAACCTTTGATTTAACATCATGTCACTTGGGCTCTTGACAAGAGTCATTTAAATGGAGCGATGAGGATGAAAACCTGATTCAAGTGGATTCAAGAGAAACTGGGAGAGAGAAATTAGAGGTGGCAAGTACAGACAACTTCTTTTAAAGAACTTTGCAATAGAGCAGAGAAGAGGTTCAAAGCTGGAGTGAATATAATGGGAGAAATTAGAGCATGTTTTTATGTTGATACGAATGAGGGGGAAATAAAATAATGAAAACGTATACAGTCAATTCTCCATTACACAAGAAAATAAAAATAGTGTGACCTATTTGATGAGTTTACTTTAAAAGATTTTATGTGATATCTGAAACATATAAAAGAGCGTATGTGAGCTCTGAAACATAATGAACACCCACAAAACCACCATCCACACCAAGAGCTAGATCCCCGCCAATCATATCTATGTGCTCCTTTCCCTGCCACACCCCTGCCTCTCAGAAGAAAGCAACTTTCCTGAATTTTGTGATTATCAATTCCTTGTAAAGTCATTCTTTTCACTATATTCTGTCATATTTATTGACGGATAAATCAAGGATAACCTCACCTCTGCCCTTCAACCTGGCCTCCCGCAGATAGACATTAGACTACTTCAGTCAGAGAGTATCATGAAATTCCTCTCTCTTATTTAACCTGCCACACTAAAATTCTGTTTTTCATCTTCTGTCTCCAGCTGGCTGCTGCTTTGCCGGAAACACCCCTTCTTTTACATGAAGATCATTATTATGCATGCCTGTCTGTATCACTTACTCTGCCGGAAGGCAGGAGGAAGAGACCAGCACACCTTCTCTGTACACAGGCAGAACAGACCATAGTGGCCTTTTTCTCCTGGAAGCTACACCTACAGCCCTCAAACCTCTAGCCTCCCCCCTCCAGTCCTAGGGCACACACTGCTGGAGAGGTGCCTATACCAAAGCCTGGTAATCCCTACTGAGGGCTCAGGAAGGCAAGTGACAGCCAGGGGTTAGGTTTCTTTAATCCCCAAATCGCCTGTGGGCTAGTAGTGGCTTTACCCAGATCATCCAGAATTCTCCAGGTGTGTAAGAACCTGAAAGACTTTGGCAAATGCCAGCAGGCTGGGCCCTTTCCCAATGGATGACAGCAGGCTCTGAAAAGCCTTCTGCATACATAAACCAACTCCCCCACTTGCTCACTGATGCTTGAAATTGCTCTAAGGAGAGACAACGGCTTTCATCTCACAACTAGAGAAGCCTTTGAAGACCCTGGATGAACTCACTGATTATGCACAGTACTGTATAAACGGATTGAAAGATTGGATTGTGCAATGGGCACCTTTTAAAAAATGGATGTGAACTGATAAACGGTGTAACAGAGAAAGGTGGGGCTTTTCCTGCTTCCTTAGGAGCTAAAAAAAAAAAAGCAAAATCTTGAAATCAGAAGACCTGGGATCATAGTTGGCCCTACTGCCAGCTGTTTGACCAGTCAAGTTTCTCTAAGTTTTGAGGCTGTTTCTGATTTCTAAAACGAACGTAAATATCTACCTCCAGAGTTACTGGGAGACTTTGATGCCATTCTACACGGTGAATATTTTCCTTCTCTTGTTTCCTTGGGCATCTGGAGCTCTGTGCCTATCCACACTAATTCTGTCCCCTTTCTTATTAGCATTATAGAGATGAAGAGTGAGGAACCTAGAACCACACAATGGTGGGTTCAAATCCTAACCCTATTTTTTAACTCAATTTATTTGGGTGACATTGGTTGATAAAATATAGGTTTTATCAAGCCCATAAGATATAGGTTTCAAGTGTACAAGATGTATTCTGTAATACATCATCTGTATATTGCATTGTGTGCTCACCACCCGGAGTCAAATCTTCTGTCACAATATATTTGACCTTCACCTTTTTCACTTTTCTCAAGTTGACACTCTGCACTGTTTCCTCATCTGTAAATGCAGATACCACTTGCACTTGCCTCAGAGGTGATCATAATTAAGACGGTTAATATGCGTCATGCACTTAGGAATCGTTCTGGCTCAACAACAAGAAAAAGCACTGCAAGAAATGCTTGCGACTATTCCCAAAGACTTCTCACCTGCCCACTTTCCTCAATCCAAAAGATCATTTTAAACTGCTCCATTCCCACTCTCTAATATACAAAAGCCCACTGTAAATTGCCACACATTCCGGCAGGCTTCCTAACGCCCCCATCCCAGTCCTTAAACCACCAGGCCATCTCGTCCTCCAACCACCAGCAACCCCCCAAGCAGTTCCTCTCTCCCACACCCGCCCTGGCTGAACCTTAGTAACCTAGACCTGGCGGAAGGTTGTGGCCGAGTGGGGAGGGGGCGGAGGGGGGGGGGCCATACAGGTGGGCGGGGAGGACGGGACTGCGGCTCTGTGACGTAGCACTCGGGCGGCTTTGTGACGTAGCACCCTGCCCCTCCAACACGGTTGCCAGGGTGCAGCTGCGTTGGGGTTGCCAGGCTAAGGTTAAGCGCTAACAAAGCCAGGCCTCGCCCCACCTCTCCTGTCGCTCCAGGCCGAGGCCAGTACCGCCCTTTCCCCCCCGCCCAAGTCCAAGTTTTGCAGCTGTGCCCCTGCCAAGGGTGCCACTGGATCTTTCACACATCACGCCTGAGGCCAGGCGCAAGGTGTCACCTGGTGCCAGACAGCTCGTTTGGGAGCGAGCCTCAGGTAGCAACCCCGAAGGGGAAGTGGAGGGAGGGGACCGTGTGAGCTCCCAGAGGGCTGCGCAAGTCTGAGGGAAGTGTTGCGCCATGAGCCCACTTGGATCCTGAATCCCTCCTTGTTCACAGAGCAAGAGGAGGGGACTGTGATCTTGAAGGGAATACGACCATGGGTGATTATTGCTCTCTGCCCACACTATATGTATATTTTGTACCCAGGACTACTTGATGATGTCTTACACAGAGGACAGTGATTTGGAAACACAATGGAATCTGGGACCAGAGCCCACTGACTAGCCAAACCTCTGCTCTTTCATCTGTAATGTGGATATAAGAATACCTGAGGGGGGGGGAGGGCTTGTCATGAGGACCAATGAGCATGACTAGCATTCATTTTATAAACTGCTATCATTGATTCATTTTCCAAATATCTATTGAGCACTGTATTCCAGTATTCCGGGCACCCGGCTAGGCACTGGGGATTCTATAGTGAGCAGAAATTGACTGTCCCTGCCCTCAAGTTTACAACCAATTGCAGGAGACAGGGTATTCATCAAAGAATCATGCACATAATGTCAAATTGGAGCTAAGTGTTGCCAAGGAGAGTTGGGTAAGTGGTGCTCTGAGAAGGTGTAATGGAACTGACAGAGAGCTCAGGGGAAGCTGAGCTGAGATCTGAAGAACCTATGAAAAGGTGGCGAGTGCATTCCAAGCAAGGGTAACCGTGTGTCCCAAACCTACCACCTCCTATTGCAAACCCAGACAAGTACATACAGTTGCCTGGTCCTGGGTTCTAAGACCTGCTCGTAGAAACTGCCTCTGAGATCCTGGTGTCTAGAGCCTCCCATTCATGTAACTGAAACCTCTCATTTATATAACCGAAGGCCTGTTTAGCTCACACCAATAAAACCAAATGAGAAATTTCAGAAACAAATCTATATTCCATATGTGATAAAACCTATATTCTTCAGCACTCAGCATGTATGTGTTGGCCATAATTCCACACTGGGAGGGATGTGGGTTTCAAAAAGAGGAAATCTGTTGAATTTTAAGAGCTGGGGGGAGGGAGATTGAATGGATAATTGAGGAAGGCCTACCATACTGAAAGCTTTAAGAATGGAAAAAGAATTTTACCATACATTGGAATCATGGAATTTTAAGATGGAATTGATCTTTCTCCACTTCTTTTATCTGATGTGAACAAATGGCCCATACTACTCAAACGCAGAAAAGTTGGGCTTTGGGGCCTCTCCAAACTAAGGAACCTATAATTCTAAGTCTCTGGGCTCAAAAGTGCATGATCCAGCAATTCCACTTCTGGGTATTTATCTAAAGAAATCCGAAACGCTAATTCAAAAATATATATGATGCATCTCTATGTTCATTGCATCATTATTTACAATAGCCAAGTTATGGAAGCAACCTAAGTGCCCATCAATAGACAATTGGATAAAGAAGGCGTAGTACATATATCCAATGAAATATTACTCTGCCATAAAATAGGATGAAATCTTACCATTTGTGACAACAGGGATTGACCTAGAGGGTATTGTACTAAGTAAAATAAGTTAGAGAAAGACGAATACCATATTTCACTTATATGTGGAGTCTAAAGAACAAATAAATGAACAAGCCAAACAAGCAGATTCATAGATACAGAGAACAAATTGCTGGTTGCCAAATAGGAGGGGCTTACTGGGCTTGGTGAAAAAGGTGAAGGGATAAAGAAGTACAAATTGATAGTTACAAAATAGTCACAAGGATGTAAAGTACAGTATAGGGAATATAGTCAATAATATTGTAATAACTATGTATGGTGCCGGGTAGGTACTAGACTTATTGGGGGAGTCACTTCTTAAATTACATAAATGCCTAACCACTAAGCTGTACACCTGGAACTAATATAAAATAATATTGAATGTCAACTGTAATTGACAAAGAAAAAACAGTGCATGGAACTCCTGAGAGTATATGGGAACTTGAGTGGAGAATTTCACCTGCCTCTCCTTCAGTGTTCTCCATTTCTACTGTGGTGCCACTATCTACCTGGTTATCTAAGCTTGAAAAGTGGGGAGTCATGCTAAACTCTTCTCTGTCCTTATCCTCCTTCCACGGTGGTTATCAAGTCCAATAGCTCCAGTCTCTCCTATCTCTCCCCACTGCAACTGCTTTACAAGGCAATGATGCTTGAGAGTTGTTGCCAAAACTGTTGCTATTTTTCCTAACCAGGCTCCCTGCCTGAAGCTTCAGTCCATTCCCTTAGCCTGTCTACACAGCTGTCAGTTGCTGCATGTTTCAGAGTCCAACAAAGAGAAATAAATCAGATAACAAGTTTAACAAAAGAAGTTTAATGTAAAGAATTTTTAACTATAATGGTTTTGGGGAAATTAAAAATTGGTTAGTAAGATATATAGAGAGATCTAAAGTATACAGGAATTGCTCCAGGGATCCAAGATGGCAGAGTAGATAAACACCATGCCTGCTTCATTCCATGAATACATTAAAATTACAACTAAATTATAGAACAATCAACCTGGAGTACCATCTGAAGTCTGGCTGAACAGAAGCTTTATAACTAAGGGTATAAAGAAGCCACACTGAGACTTGTAGAAGAGGCGGAGATGCAAACCAGGCTGGTCCCAAACCTCCGTGTAATGGTTAAAAATACCTCAGCCTTAGTGGTTCCCCCCAGAGGAGTGAAAGACCCCAGCCCCACTCCAAGCTCCCCAGCCCAGAGTACTGGTGCCGGGAAGAGAAGCCCCCACAATATCTGGCTGTGAAAAATAGTGGGTTTTCCAACCATCCAGGTGTGACGGAAGGCTACGGGAAACCCAGACATCCTCTTAAATGGAGTGCACACAGACTCACTCGCTCGCAGGCACTCACCGTGTGCTCCAGTGGAGGGACAGTGACTCAGAGGTTGCCAGAGGCACACAGGAAGCAGACTGAGGTATATGGCTTTGAAGCCAGGACTGGTAGACAGTGCCATTTTCCCTATATGGGGTCCTCCTCTATGCAGCCAGGCAAGCAGCCACCATCTTTAATGAGTTGAGCCCACCCCCAAAGCTTAGGGCCAAATCTGAATCTGGTTGGTCTGGTGAGCTCTGGGGTTCCACCCTGATTTCTCACTGGGACCCCACCCCACAACTCCCTTAAAGCCAGAGGCAATTTCTCCACAAGCATCTTGCCCCATCCTCATTGCACTCTTTCTTGGAAAAATATTGGAGTCCACGGGTCCCAGGTGGCAACAACTGGCCTCAGTGTGCTCTTAGACTCTTCCTAAGTAGCTCCAGGCTCAGCACTGGCTGAGGATCCACATTAACCTGGTAACCCACTCTAGTGTCTCTCTGAGACCCTGCCTCACCTAACTTGCATACCACAGGAGGCTTTATCGGTGGCTGAACTTTAAGGGAGCTGGTAGGTGACAGCAGGCCTTGGGGTGTCTTGGCTTTTTGAGGAGGTACCCCAGGCCAAAAACTAGTGGCAGACATACTTGGTTCACAGTGTGGCCTCTCCCATGTGCCTCCAGGGTTAGCACAGGCAGCAAACAACTGCAGACTGCTTTGTAACTTATACCAGGTAGTCCCCAGCTGGTCATAGGCAGTGGGTGACCTTGGCCTGCACCGGCGCCCCTCCCCAAGAGGCCCCAGAACCAACAACTTGGAGGTGGGCTTCAGACCACAGCAGAGCACAGCCCAATTAATCCCACAAACAGCACACACAAAGGGAGGTATCAACAGGCACCAGAGCCTCCTGGGGAGAATCCCACTCAGTGGGGGAATCCTCTGCACAGCAGCCCATAAGCTATGGACTTGGCCAAACCCCACAGCTGATCAGCCTGAGGGCAAATACCACCCACTGCTATGCCAATAACAATCAAGCCTCAACTATAACAGGATAGCACACACAACCTACACAACAGACATTCCTGGAGCACCCGGAGCAGGTGACCTGGGAGACTATGCCAGAGCACAAGTGGGCACCTACTACATAAGGCCATCTGGCAAAGACTGGGAGACATAGCAGATCTACCTCATACATAGAAACAAACACAGAGAGGCAGCCAAAATGAGGAAACAAAGAAACATGTCCCAAATATAAGAATAGAAGAAAACTCCAGAAATATAACTAAATGAAATGGAAGCAAGCAACCTACAAGAGACAGAATACAAAACAGTGGTTATAAGGATGCTCAAGGAGCTCAGTGAGAACTTCAACAAAGAGATAGCAAACATAAGAAGGGACATAGAAACCATAAAAAAGAACCAGTCAGATGTGAAGAATACAATAACTGAAATGAAGAATGCACTAGAAGGAACCACCAGCAGACTAGATGAAGCAGAGGATCAAATCAATTTGGAAGACAAGGTGGCAGAAAACACCCAATCTGAACAGAAAAATAAAAAAGAACCCAAAAAACTGGGGATAGTTTAAGAAGCCTCTGGGACAACATCAAGCATTGCAACATTTGCATCACAGGGGTACAGGAAGGAGAAGAGAGAAAGCAAGGGATTGAGAACCTATTTGAAGAAATGACAGAAAACTTTCCTAATCTGGCGAAGGAAATAGACATACAAGCCCAGGAAGCGCAGAGAGTCCCAAACAAGATGAACCCAAACAGGTCCACACCAACACACATTATAATTAAAATGGCAAAGGTGAAAGACAGAGAATCCTAAAAGCAGCAAGAGGAAGGCAACTAGCAACTTATAAGGGATCCCTCACAAGGCTGTCAGCTGATTTCTCAACAGAAACTTTGCAGGACAGAAGGGATTGGAACAAAATATTCAATGTGATTGATGAAAAGCAAGGACCAAAAAAACCAAGAGTAATTTACCCAGTAAGGCTATTATTTAAAATTGGAGGACAGATAAAGAGTTTCCCAGACAGGAAAAAACTAAAGGAGTTTGTCGCCACCAAACCAGTATTGCAAGGGATGTTAGATGGACTTCTTTAAGATGGGGGGGGGGGGGGGGGGTTGGAGATCATAAGTATAAATAATAAAAT